CTCGGACCCGCTCACCTTTCCTCTGATCCGCTCGCGCACCCCTTGTATCCTTCGTGCGCGGGCAATCATAGGTTGAATGTGCTCCGCGGTGTGCTGTATTGCGAGCATTGTGGTGCCCATGCTAGTGGGCGCAATGTGCAAAGCCTGGCCAAACCCTGTAAGACTGATCGTCCCCCCACGAAGGCTGGGAGGGAGGTCCTGTCCAGGTTGGCTCGTGGTCTTCCCCCAAGAGTGGCGGCAAGTTTCCCCGGGCTTGAATGTGATGTCGTGCCCAGGCTTGACCTGGTCTCCACGGGTTTGCATCGTCGTCATCCTCCTCCCGCCCTCGTCCCGAGACTCGACCACGCGCAGAGGGGGTTGGGGAAGGGGAAGGGCTCCTCGGAAGCGCCCCTGCTTCTTTGAAGGCGCGGGGCCTTCGCTATGGATGTCAGGCCAGCGCCTTCCAAGAAGCAGCCTCCTCCTAAGAACCCCCCCCCGATCTATCGGCGAGGTATCGCCGATTCCAGATCGATGTTCCCCCCCCTTCCCCGAGCCAGTCCCCCCCCCCCCTATCGCTTCCCCTCGGTTGCGCCGCGCTCGATGACCTGGGCTCCGAGTCCCACTGGCGCTCCCGAGCGGCCCTTTCAGGCGCGGGCCCTGAGGGCGGCGTCGATGACACAGCCGCGCGCGCAACCGCGGGGAAAGACGGAAGCGCGCGCCGACGAGTTCGCGACCGCGGGCATCATTGGCCCGTCGGACTTGGCAGGGATGGTCGGTCACGAATTGGCATCGGCATTCCCTGCGCAGTTGGGTTTTCCGCGGAATCTGTTGCGAGTCTGCAGCGAGTGGGCGCTTCGCCCCAGCGACAGGCGCCCCAGAATGGTTCCTCCGCGCAGTCGTGAGCTTGCGGGTCAAGAGGCTCTTCCCGCCGCATCCGAGCGCATGGTGGCGCAAGCCCGAGCTGCCCTGCAGGTATTGGCTGTCGCTTGTCGGGACAGGCGCGCCCTCTCGCCAGACGTCTTGTCTTGGCTGATACGGTCGTGGCGCTTGCCAAAACGCCTGCCGCCGATTTGCACCCCCTCGCCAGTGTGACTTGCAGGTCGCGCCTGGTCTGCCCGTCGACCGAGCGCGCTGGCTCCAGATTTGCGGCGACGTGCCTTCCCGGAGATCGCGTTGCGTGAAACCCGGAGTGGGTTATAGTGGTGGAATCAGCTACGTCTCGGCTGCTTGGCTGATCGGCTGCGAGCACTGGCGGGCCGCCGTGGCCGCCAACACAGGTATTGCGAGGCGCTTTAGCATTCGCGGTGCGACATGGCAGCCCGCTGAATAAGTATTTGCCGCAGATCAGGTCGGTGCTGCGGCTCGGTGGCGGGCACCGCGCCGCCCTTGCACGCGGCGTGGCGAGAGCTGTGCAGCCGAAATGTATAATGCGTGCGTCAGTCAAACAAACGCGGGACTTCGCCGGGTACATCCACGACACTTGAACGAGCTGATGATCGCTGACAGTTTCGGCGGTGTCCTGCAGTTTTGTCTCCGCTATGCATATGGGGTCATTCCGCTGGCGCGGAGTTTCGCGCGTTCTTCCGTGTCGATTTCTGAGCAGGGTGGGCTCGCTGAGGCAGTGGCCAATCTCCATCGATGGACGGGCTGTCGGGAGATAGCCGCTGTTGTGCGGAAGTGCGATCGCGCCCACTGGGCGCCCGAGCTCTGCGGGGAATATGTTTCTCCTGGGCGCCAGCCATCGCGCCGCGCTGGCCACCCTGGAGGTGGAAGCCCGTGCTTTGGTATTTGACAGGATTCGGCGTTTCAGTTCTATTTCTTAGTGGCGGCTGGAGTCAAGCTCGCTGCTTTTCCTCACACGTCGGCCCAAGCCAAAGGCTCAATGCAGGCGGCCGATCGGCTCGTAGAATTCACGAGTTTTCGCGGCAACGACTGCGAAAGTATAAGCATCATCGCCGCGCCGGGCTGCCATCGGTCGGTCATGGATTTCCGCCGATCCGCGTCACTCCTGTTCGAGGCGTGTGTTGCTACGGCCACGCCGGTCACGTGGCGTGCGGTTCCGTTCTCACACACAGGGGGAACCCGGGTCGGGCCTACATCAGCGTCATCATTGGGGCAAGCTGTTGCAGTGGCTGCGTCGGCCCGAACCAGTGCGCCCTTCTGTCAGTCTCGCAGGTGGCGCTGGCGCGAGAAGCGCAAGGGGCCAGGCAGAGTGCCCGTGAGCCATGGGGGCCAGGGCCGTCTAGTGGCGAGGAGTCCAGGGGCCTTCGTCTCACGCGGACAGATCCGATATATGTTTGGTTTCCATCCGCCGTCGCGCCAGATTCGGTTGAACGATGTTTTGCCGGGGTCGCCGTTCGCGCCGGAGGAGCGCCGCGCCCGCGCCCGAGGAACGCCGCGTTTACGTCGGGGCGTGACGCGCGGGCTTTGCACGGGAACCACCACTTCACATCAATTTGCCGTGCGGTGCGCTGTGCCGCGCCATGCGCCGTGCCGTGCGTTGTGCTGCGTGCCGCGCGCAGTGCCGCGTGCCGTGCCGTGTCGCGCCGCCCCGCGTGCCGTGCCGTGTCGGCGGGGCAGCCTGTGCTTGTGGGGTTAGAAGCCCAGTCGGGCAGACGGGGCCAGACCTTTGTTCGGGGGCCTCCTCTCCCCCCTCCTCCCGCCTTTTCTTTCCTCCCGTTCTCCCTCCCCTCTTTCCTCCTTCCCTCCTCTCGCTCGTTCTTCCTCCTCCCTCGGTTCTGGGGGCTTCCCCATCGGCCTATCGGCGCCGCCAGCTCACGAATCCCTTGGGTCGCACCCAACCCAGCTGAAAGTGGCGCTACCTTGCTCTTCGAGCTATCATATAAAAGGGGCCGCATGATGGGCACCAAATTGTTGCTGCATTGAGGACCTCGGTGACATCGGCAGGCTGGCGCGAAGAGGCCCTGTTCCATGTTGCGTTGGCTCAAATGAAGAAAGACTGGAGGAGTGGAATGAGGGACGAGCAGTTGGAGAGAGGGGTGAGCTGCGTGAAGCAGCAGGAGTAGGGAGGAGAAAGGGGGAAGGTGAAGGGCAGGAGGAGGGGGGGAGGGTTCTTTTTGCCTTGCGTTTTTCTTTGTAGCCGGGCGTCGACTGATCGTGGAGTGGTCAAGCGCGCCGCAGGTCTACGGGGCTCGTGGGGGAGGGGGGTGGCCAGCAACGAGGGCGATCAGGAGGGCGAGGGCAGGGGGCAGGGGTGCGCATGCTGGGGCAGATGGAGACGAATCAATTTCCCCAACATCGTCGAGTTGGAACGCCGTTCGCCGCGCCGTTGGGTCAAGTTCGGCACTGAGTTCGCCGGCGTCGGACCCTGCGGCGTTCCGCTGGTGCCAGGAACGGGGGGCCGACAAAAATAGTTTTGCCAGCCCCAGCTGGCGGTCACCGTATATTCTCGCCAACCTTGGCAAAAATGGGACCGGCAAAAAATCAGGGGCCTTGTTGGGCACCGAGCGGGTGGGCCCAGTAGTTGCAATTTTTTGTGCTAGCCCCTCCTCGCCGGCACCATGCGGGAACGGAAACGGCAGCGACGTCCAGGTCTCGTTCTTTTTCGGTTGCTTTGGGGTCCGCAGGATGTCAACCACGGCGTCAAGAATTCAAAGGGTTACAGGAGCTTAGGGAATTCGAGGCCAGGCCTACCGCATGTATTGTTTGAGAATGCGATACCTCAATATTTCGAGTAACAACTCGGTATGGCAGCAATCCCAAATACTTTGATTTTGTTGGCAATGATAAATGAAGAAAATCACCACGGCTGAGCAATTTCATACGCGATGCAATCCCGCGGAGTTTTTCACGTGCTTCAGGAGGTCCACGATCAGAAAAGTGAGTGTCACTTCGCATATTTCACACGTGCACGTCACTCTTCTTCCCTACATCACGGCCCGCGCCTGGGCGTTGGGATCTGAGGACCAACGCGCGCCTGGCACCTGTTGCTTGGTGACCGTTCGAATCTTGCGAGATACGCGGTGTCTCCGCCCTCCTCCCCAGATATGGCTGGTTGGGGTGGTCCCCAACGAATCCCTGTGCTGCGCGGCGATGGGATGGCATCATGGCGTAGCCCCCTCTTCCCGAGCAAGATGTTCCGCTCGACCCGACCCGACCGCCCGAGGTAGGGTCCGTCCGAACCAGCCCGACCGCCCAAGTTAGGCTCGCCCGAGTCAGGGACTTCCCAACCTGGGGCGCGCCCCGACCCGACAACCCGCGCTCGTCTCGACCCGCTGGCCTGCCCGCTCGCCTGTCTAAGTTTGTTGGCCCCCTGGGGGGTACCATCCCAGGTCGAGGGGGCGGGCCTGGAGGGCTTGGGGGATGAAGATGCCTAGCGGCACGCGAGCAAGGAAGACCGAGCCGTCCTGAAACGACCGTCGTTGTCGCCGTCGTGGGCCGCGCGTGCGGAGGGGGCCGGCGCCCCCCAGATCACAGCTTGAGATCCATGGGCGGCGTGGCCGCCTCGCCGCGCGGTTGGGCGAGAGCTGGCGCTTGCCTCCTGCCTGCGGTGGCCCTCGCTGCGGGCGCCAAGACGCCGGTGGTGAAATGGGGTCAGAAGCCCGACAAGCTGTACCTGACCATCGGAGCGGGGGGCGCTCCGCGGAGTTTCCTGAGGCCCTCGGAGGCTTTCCTTCGGCCCGTTTTGGGCGTTCCCGGATGCTTTGGGGAGTTCCCAGGGTTCCAGGGGTGGCGCGGAGAAACAGGGACGGGCGTTTTTCTCGCCGTGGCGCCTAGGACCCCAGGACCTTCGCGAATCGATTTGGCCTCGAGAACGTGGAAGCTGGACAATCCAGTACGAAGACGGATCCAGAAGCCTTGGTACTTTTTGGTTCGCGGCGTGAATTTGCTTCGCGGGGAGGGCAAAGTGGAAGGATATGGTTTCGTCCAGGACGAGTGTGAGGAGGGTTGGGCCAGGACGGCCGATGCGCTTGGGCCTCTGGGGAGCCGAGTATGGCCCAACCAGCGCAGGAGCAGGAGGGACGGGAGGCTGGCCCAGAGGGTGCCCCCCCGCTCTGACCATGCCGTTGCCCGACATGTCCGACCCAGAGGTCACCATTCAGGACAAGCGGATATTTTTCAAGGGCGTCAGCCGTGGTGACGATTACGAGATCGACATCGACCTGCTCCGAGGAATCAATACGACAGACAGCAAGTACACGGTTGACCAATGGAAGATCACTTTTGATCTCAAGAAGGTGCGCAGAGAGCCTTGCTGGAATCGGCTCACCAGGAGCAAGAAGAAACACGCATGGCTGAAGAAGGATCAGGACAGGTGGTACATATCGGATTGTCAACATGCGAAGGAACTCTGGAGGGAGGCATATTTCAGGAAGAAATTGGGAAGCGAGTTGCCTGGCGGGGAAGACGCGGAGGAAGACGACATGGTCGACAATGCGGTCAAAGAGTTAAAGGAAAAGCAGAAGCAAGTCAAAGAAGAGAAGTCCGGAGGAGGGTTGGATTCGATGGTTGATGACCAGAAAAAGAAGGAGATGGAGGAGTGGACCAACACGCTGGAGAAGTTTCGAAGCCGAGCGGTGCCCATCACTTCGAAGCCGAAGCGCAAGGGCAGAAGAAAGCGGACGGATGAGCTCTGACGCGGCTCATGGCCACGGCAGCTCTTGTGGCGGCGTTGTTTGCGTTTCTTGACTGGGGGCGGCCAGAACCACAGGGATGGTAAGATCCAGGTCGCCCGAATGGGGCGGGAGTAGATGGGGCCAGAGGACCACACCGCATCGCCGATGCATTTGCGATGGGGCGCGCTCCAGGGCCAGATGTTCTCAATCCCGACGTCGCCAATGCATCGGCGGTGCGGCGCAGTTATCCGACCCCGTCTGCTGGGATCCCATTCAGGTGGCCTCCCGTCGGTGAGGGGGAGGGGGAGAGTAGTGGGACGCGATTGTACACAGATACCGATCCTGTCCGGGTCGATCCTATGCCCAGGGTCTGTGTTTGCGCCATGCTGGCTTTGCGAAGGAGGTACAGTCAATCGGCATGGTAAGGATGAGCAACTTTCCCAGGTTACCCTTCCAGCCTTGCCTCTTCGGCCCATCCTTGGCGACTCTCGCTGGCCAGCCCCGCTCGAAAACGCCAATATGGCCTTCCAAGGCCCTCGCGTCCTTACCGCGCATCCTTATCATACGGGCTGACTGTCTATTCATCGATCCTGGGTCCAGGATCGGCCCGGCCAGAATCTGCATGCGTGGGCGTATCTATCGACGTCCTCCCAGAGATCTCTGGATGTCTCAAGGGAGGGCCCCCCAGGTCCCCCGAGGCCTCCCAACACATAGTTCACATTGAAGATATTATCGTTCGATCCTCCCTCTTCCTCCTCCTCTTCCTCCAAAACCAACGAAGCTGCAAAATGATTATCATTCGATCCTCTATCCTCTATCCTCTTATCCCCTATCCTCCTCCTCCTCCTCCTCCTCCTCCTCCTCCTCCTCCCCCTCCTCCTCCTCCAGGAGAGAGGATGGGGGAGGTGAAGGGCGGAGAAGTCCTCCATTCCTCTTGACACACCACCTCCAGTGTGGGGGGTCGCCTGCGACCTCCTGGGGACGAACACGGCGCTGCAGACTATATTTCCCCCCTGGCACGGCAAGAGTTGTGCAGCGTGCCTATGCCTACAGGGAGGTCCTCGGCGCCTCAGGTCCAGGCCGCCCAGATGGGCCCGAAGAAGGCGGAGTCGGTTCGTTGAAAGGAGGGTATATCGGGCTCACAGATCCCGATCTACTCTAAAATCATCCTGCTTCATCAGTCGAAGGGCTTCCTTGTGCCTTACTGCTACCTCGGGTCTAAGCATTTCACTCGCATTCTCACTTCATGTTCCCAGTGACTTCTTCAGAGCAGCCTGTAGGGTTGCGTCGCATCACCAACATATCGGCGATGTGGTGCGATCTGGAGTACCACTTTCTTCGTCCCGACGTCGCCGCTGCACTGCCGATTAATCGGCTCTGCGGTGCAACCCTATGGCCTCACCTGCTCTGACCCAACTTTGAGGGTCCCCACCACTAGGGTAACTGGGTGGACCTTGGGCCGGGGAGGCGTACAGTCAACCACAGTATCAGGTCGGGCGAAGAGAACTATGCACATGCACCGATCCTGGCAAGGCCCATCCTTGACCCAGGATCGGTGCATATGCCTTCCTGGCCAAGGTAGGAGGGCGTATGCACCGATCCTGGGCTCAGGATGGGCCTGGCCAGAATCGGTGTATGTGCATAGTTCTTTTTCTTCTAATCAGGGGCGTGGTGCTCCGTCAAGGCGGCCCTCGCATCCCAGTCTGCTCGGCCCCTCGCGTCTGATTCAGCCTACCGCTGCCGCTGCATCTCTTGCGCGACAGGCACCCAATGGCCCTGCATCCCCGACCGTGCATCCTTTCCTCGTACCAGCCTGGAGCATTCCCTATCCCTGAAAGTGGGGCACCACCTCGTCTCGGTGCAGACAAAAAGATTCCCCTCAGATTTTGAGGGTGCATCCCTAAGACTGTCGTCGCCTGGGGCTTCCCAGCCCCAGGGAAAAGGATCGCCTCGACGCCCGTTGTTCTCCTACACTGGACCTCAGAGGGGAAGGCGAGGAGAAGGGGCGGAGAAGGACGAGGCCTCGCCTCGCCGCCCCTGTGTGTTCTGGGCGCCGCTAACCCTGCGCCCGCGGATCTTTGGCGGCGCGCGGCGTGTGCGCGCCCGGCGCGCGGCGCGCACCCGACCGCCATCTCGAAGACCCTGCGGGAAGCCGCTCCCGCAAGCCGGCAGAGGCTCCTCCGGGGGCACCGCCCCGACCCATGCGCCCCGAGCTGCGGCCAGCTGCGGTGGCGACAGGCTTAGGCGCAGGAGTCGGCGGAGGGGGAGGAGGAGGAGGAGTCTCTCTCTCTCTCTCTCTCTTTCTGTCTTCCCATTCAGGTCGGAGGAGGAGGAGGAGGAGGAGGAGGAGGAGGAGGAGGAGGAGGAGGAGGAGGCGGTGAAAGGAGGGAGGAGGAGGAGGAGTTGGAGGAGGAGGAGGAGGAGGAGGAGGAGGAGGAGGAGGAGGAGGAACGCTACAGCTGCACAGCGTAAGTCCGATCAACGTCACAGGAGGAGGAGGAGGAGGAGGAGGAGGAGGAGGAGGAGGAGGCCTTCCTCCCTCGCGCTGCCTCCCCGAGTTGATCGGCGTCATCGGCGGCTACCCGCTGCTCGCGCTGATAATCGTGATCCAGTGCCTCACTGCGCCCTGGGCGCGCCCACTGCCCTTTCCGCGCGCGGCGGGGCCTCCTTCCTCCCCGCTCCTCCTCCTCCTCCTCCTCCTCCTCTTCCTCATTCCCCCTCCTCCACCTCTGCCTCTCCCTTCCTCCTCCTCCTCCTCCTCCTCCTCCTCCTCCTCCTCCTCCTCCTCCTCCTCCTCCTCCTCCTCCTCCTCCTCCTCCTCCCCCTTCACCGCCTCCTCCTCCTCCTCCTCCTCCTCCTCCTCCTCCAAATGATGAGCGCCGCCTGGGCCGCCCTGACACTGGCGGGAGGCGCGGTACGTAGATGGCGCAGGTGACGAAAACCTCCTCCCTCGCTGGTGTTTGCTGCGATCAGGGTGTGACACACCACGTCTGCGCACCCGAAACTGAAAGAGGCCCTGGCTTGTAGCACGCTTTGGCACGCGCGCCTCGGAGCCCTGTGAAATGGAGGCGCCACCTTGGGGCATTCCCCTCGGCGGCCCGGTGCCGGGTCTTCGAAACAAGTTGCCAGGTATCCTCGCAGAGCGCGAGGTGTAAAAGTAAGGAGGTAGCTAGCACTGGTGCGCTAGCGGTGATCAGCACGTCGCGCCTGGAGACTTTCTGGAGATCATTTCATGCGGTTGTGTTTTACCCAGCCATCCTGTGGTGCTGCGTCCTCGTTTATAGAAACAGCGCCCCGCGTTCCTCCTCCTCCTCCTCCTCCTCCGCCTCCTCCTCCTCCTCCTACTCCTCCTCCTCCTCCCGCTCCCCCTCCTCCTCCTCCTCCTCCTCCTCCTCCTCCTCCTCCTCCGCCTTCTCCCATCCCTGCCTCTCCGGCACACCCTTCGCTGCGTTCGCATGCAGTTCCACCCTCATGTGGGCACACCCCTCACACGTTTCGTGGCCCCATACGGAGCTCCGCCCAAGGTCCCAGCGGCTGCGTTCGCATGCGGTTCACCCCCATTTCGGTACACCCCTCGCACGTTTCGTGGCCCCCATAGGGAGCTCCACCGAAGGCTGCAGCGGCTGCGTTCGCATGCGGTTCCCCCCCCATTTCGGCACACCCCTCACACGTCTTGTGGCCCATTGGGAGCTCCGCCAAAGGCCCCAGTGGCTGCGGTCGCATACGATTCCACCCCCATGTCGGCACACTCCTCACACGTTTCGTGGACCCACAGGGAGCTCAGCCAAAGGCCCCAGTGGCTGCGTTCGCATGCGGTTTCACCCCCCATTTCGGCACACCCCTCGCACGTTTCGTGGCCCCCATAGGGAGGCTCCACCGAAGGCCGCAGCGGCTGCGTTCGCATGCGGTTCCCCCCCCATTTCGGCACACCCCTCACACGTCTTGTGGCCCATTGGGAGCTCCGCCAAATGCCCCAGTGGCTGCGGTCGCATACGATTCCACCCCCATGTCGGCACACTCCTCACACGTTTCGTGGACCCACAGGGAGCTCAGCCAAAGGCCCCAGTGGCTGCGTTCGCATGCGGTTTCCACCCCCATTTCGGTACACCCCTCGCACGTTTCGTGGCCCCCATAGGGGCTCCACCGAAGGCTGCAGCGGCTGCGTTCGCATGCGGTTCCCCCCCCATTTCGGCAGCATGCGGTTCCCCCCCCATTTCGGCACACCCCTCACACGTCTTGTGGCCCATTGGGAGCTCCGCCAAATGCCCCAGCGGCTGCGTTCGCATGCGGTTCCACCCCCATGTCGGCACACTCCTCACACGTTTCGTGGACCCACAGGGAGCTCAGCCGAAGGCCCCAGTGGCTGCGTTCGCATGCGGTTCCACTCCCATTTCGGCACACCCCTCACACGTTTCGTGGCCCCATCGGGAGCTCAACCGAAGGCCCCAGTGGCTGCGGTCGCATACGATTCCACCCCCATGTCGGCACACTCACACGTTTCGTGGACCCACAGGGAGCTCAGCCGAAGGCCGCAGCGGCTGCGTTCGCATGCGGTTCCACTCCCATTTCGGCACACCCCTCAAACGTTTCGTGGTCCCCATATGGAGCCCCACCGAAGGCCCCAGCGGCTGCGCTCGCATGCGGCTAGGGAGCTCCACCGAAGGAAATCATCACAACTCCAGCCCAGGCCCGCCCCGAAACAGGCCACGACAGGCTAAGGGGGTCCCGAGAGGGCCCAAGACGGTCCAAGAGGCCCCGAAGTCGCCCAAGATGCCTTCAAGACGGCCGACGAGGACGCCAACACGTTCCAGGACGGACTCAAGAGGCTTCCAAAGAAGGCCCTGGCAGGCAACATTCGCTCATTTTCCGAGGATTCTAGAAGGATTTCGGCGTTCTCGCTTTTCCCGCTTCCAGCGCTCCCTCACGGCCTCGGAGGCCTTTCCGATCGCTCCAAGACGGCTCACGAGGCCCCGAAGAGGGCCCCATAGATGGTCCAGGAGGCTCCTGAGACAACCCAAGTGTGCCCCAAGATCTCCCCGAGAGGGGGCCCAGAGGGGGACCGCGAAATGATAGTTCGAGGTCTCTGGTCCTGGGGGCCCCCAGTAGGCCCCCAGAGGCAACCAAGAGGCTCCCACGAAGCCCCGTGAGGCGCCCAAGAGGCCCCCAGGAAGCCCAAGAGGCCCCCAAGGGGCTCCCAGGGAACCCAAGAGGCCAAGATGCCCCCAAACACACCCTAAGAAATCATGTCCCCAGAAAGCCCTCTGGAGACATGGTTCATCATGGGCCCGAAAGTTCCCAGAGGCCCCCAAGGGGCCCCAAGGAACGCCCGAGAGGCCCCCCAGCACACCCCAAGAAATCATGTCCACAGAAAGCCTTCCAGGGACATGGTTCATCATGGGCCCGAGAGTCTCTGGAGGCTCCGAAGTACCATCACGCTAGCAGGGAGCTGTCTGGGAAGTTGACTGGGAACATGACTGATCGCCTCCTCGCGGCCCTCCGCGGATCGTTTCGCACAAACATGCCCCAAGTGCCCTCTTGAATCGACGACGACGACGGCGACGACGACGAAGACGACGAAACGACGAAGACGAGGACGAGGAGGACGACGACGACGACGACGACGACGACGACGACGACGACGACGACTACGACGACGACGACGACGACGACGACGACGACGACGACGACGACGACGACGACGACGACGACGACGACGACGACGACGACGACGACGACGACGGCGCGCCCCAAGAGGCGACGACGACATTACGACGACGACTCCGACGGCACGCCTCAACTGGCTCCCCAAAACGCCCCCCAAACCCATGTTCCCAGAAGGCCTTCCGGGAACCCGATTCATCCGGCCTACGCCCTCCTACGCAACCATCTTCCCCGAACGCCTTCCGGAATGCGGATTGACATGCGTGGACTGTGGTCCACTAATTCAGTGGAGCAGTTAATTCGTCAAGGCCTGGGGCCTGCTAGAACCTGAGCGCGCGCGAAATGCGCGCGATGGTTCTAGTACATATCTATATATAGATATATACTAGAACCACGCGCGCGCTTCGCGCGCGCTTAGGTTCTGTCGAGTCACAGACCCAGGAATCGTTGCGAGAAGAAATTGGTGACGCGAAGCGTCTTGGGGGCGTCCTTGGACGTCTGGGGTCTCCTGGGGCCTCTTGAGGGGCCTCCTTGGGGCCTCCTGGCGGCCTCTTGGGGCGGAAGGCTCGAGCTTGCGGTTCGTGGTCCCCCTCTGGGCCCCCTCTTGCCCACACAGACACACAGGCTCGCCTTCCCCCTCGGAGGGGGAGGCGAGTGGAGAGGGGAAGGGAGTAGAGCTGGAGAGGGGAAGGGGCAGGAGAGGCAAGGGAGAAGAGGCGAGGGAGGAGGGGAGAGGCGAGGAGGATAATCCAGGCCCCCTGCTGATCAGCGCCCGGGCGCCGCGCGCGAGCTCGGCGCTTGAGCCCCGATCGCGCGCCGCGCGCTTGGCCGTGCGAAGAAATCTTGGGACGCGAAGTCGAAGCCAATCTGGCGCCAATCTGGCGGCCCCAATCTGGCAAAAGTTGGCAATCTGGCGAGGGAGCCAGCGAGGTTACAGACTGGCGAGCAAGTAAAAACCTCCTACCTGGTCACGCCAGAGTGTCCCCTGGAGCCTTGGACTGTCGTGTAGAAGGGCGAGACACTGAAATCTTGGGACGTGAAGTCAAAGCCAATCTGGCGCCAATCTGGCGGCCCCAATCTGTCGAGGAGAAGGGCGAGACACTGGAAACGCAAAGTCGTCTCAAAATCGACCCCGGGACTCCGAACGCTCCAACGTTTCGGACTGCGCCCAGCCCCTGCGACGAGGGGCCCTAGACCAAAGTGCCCCCAGGACTCCCCGGGAAACTTCGGCGGCGTCCACAGCACCCCTCCGCCTCCTTTTCCTGCTCCTCCTCTTCCTCCTCCTCCCTCTCCTCCTCCTCCTCCTCCTCCTCCTCCTCCTCCTCCTCCTCCTCCTCCTTCTCCTCCTCCTCCTCGTCGTCTTCCTCCTCATCCTCGTCCTTTCCCGAGCCATACAATAACAACTTGCGTGGAATCCCTCTCGGGCCCATCTTGGGGCTCTCTTGGGCCGCCTGTGGAGCCTCTTGTGATTTTGTGGGGGGCCTCGTCCCGTCGCTCGCTGGGAGTTTGACGTAGCTTCTCGGGAGCCTCTGAACCTGTCGGGGGCTTCCTGGAAGCAGGTTCGAAGGATTTTTGGGGCCGATTTGGGGCTTCTCGGGGCCTCCTTTGGGCCTCGTGGGGGTCTCCTGGGGCCTCTTGAGGGGCCTCCTGATGGCCTCCTGGCGGCCTCTTGGGGCGGAAGGCTCGAGCCCGTCTTGGGGCCCTCTTGGGCCATCTTGGGCGCCTCTTGGGCCGTCTTGGGGCCCTCTTGGGCTGTCCTGGGGCCCTCTTGGAAGCTTCTTGGGCCGTCTTGGGGCGGTCTTGGGCGCCTCTTGGGCCGTCCTGTAACGTCGGAAAGCCCAAAAGACAACTTTGTTAAAAATGTACGTTTTACGAAGGGAATGGGCCAATTCTTGCGTCTAGGGGCCCTCTTGGGACGCATGTTGGAGGCTTCTTGGGGCCTCTTGGGGGCGTCCTTGGACGTCTGGGG